TTTCCCCCCAATGAGCCATTCCACCCCATCCCCTCCCTCTCCCCAGTCCCTCTCCCCACCATTGTCCGTGTCCTTGTATTGTGCATATATGCACATAAACTCTCTGGTTACTCTCTCCCCCTCCACCCACCCGCCCTCCTCCATCCCTCTGACACTCGTCAGACTCATCTCTTCTTTTATATTAGTTGAGGGTAATTGATCTATCATATCTAAGTACTCCTATCATATCTATTATACACAAATAACTCACCTCATGGTTATTGCAGCATTTGCTACACCATCCCCCCCCCGCTTAAGTTTGTATAATTGAAACACCTTTGAAATGCATCTGTTCACTGTTTTTTTTTTTTCTTTCATGGGTGGTTAAATAACTGAAGCAATCATTTGGCGAGTTTTAGGCTGCTGCTTTTGTTTTTGTAAGGACCCCTTTAACACTAGGTAATCTACCAGATGATTATGGTTCTTTGCTTTCATAATAGGCAAAAGAAATATAATGTCCTATACTGACTTCATAATGAGAGAATATTGTGAAAATAAGGGGGGCAAACTTGACGGCTAATTGTGCATTGTGAATGTTGAGTGTTCATTGATGAAGGTTACACTATCTTCAGATAGAGCTTTAGAGAGTGCAGCCCACAGATTAATTTCCAGCTACATAAAAGAGTATTTTGTTTTGTTGATATGCAGCTGTTTTTTACTCAATTGCCTAGTATACTTGACACAATTTATTTAAAAATTTCCCTCCAAAATATTGCTTAACTCATTCTGCACAAAATTCTTGATATTACAGTTTGCCATTGATTTGTGTGGGTATTTTTATTGAATGTCCCTGGAAGTTAACAAAACCTCATCACTAAAAATACCTACCTAAAATCTTTGAGATTATTTTCATAGCCAAGAATGTTATCTTCACCTATTATGCTTCAACAATGTCAGGATATCTTGAACCTTCCCCTCCATACCTGAAACAGTGTCATATCAGCCATCTGTTTTCCAGAAAGAATGTAAACGCTGTCATTATTTCTTTATGGCATATCAACAGCCATCACATCTTCCCAATCCACTCACCACTTTGGGTAGTTTTGTAACAAAAGTTCTCAGGAAAGGCCTTAACAGCAGGCATAGTCAGAGAACAGTCATGTAAACCTATATACATTCCTAAAATATTTGAACTGGGTGAGGAACACACGTAAAACAGCCCCACAATATCTTCAAACATCTCAGATGACCACAAGCATAATATTTTCACAAGTGAAACTGGTTCTATAGGCCTATGAATGTGAATCTATCCTTGTAGGTCAAATTGTCCTCAGTTACCAGCATATTCTGTACTAGTATCACTAGTCACAGCATTTTTGCTAGTTTAAAATTTGATCATTTTTGACTGAGTATTTACCTTATCCTTGTTTGCTAAGGGAAACTTACCAGGAGTAGAAGACTCCTAGCAACATAATTGCAAGGGTTGCTGGATTATGCAAGATTTAGAACCATTTTTGAGCTCCATCAGAGGTGTCTGCTGCACTATAAAGACACAAAGGCAGCACCTGTCATCCTTAGACTCAAGGAAAATAACATTTTTCTTAAGGATCTCTAACTTCTATGATATGGACCTTAAAAAGGAAGTATCTTTGGTGAAAGACAATGCTATTCTGGACACTTTAACACCACTTGAAAGACTTATGGACAGAGACAACATTTGTTGCTTTCAGTTTTATATCCCACATCTGAGTGAAATCATATGGTTCTTAACTCTTTCTGACTGATTTATTTAGCTTAGCATGATATTCTCAGGGCCCATCCATGTTGTTTCAAATGGCAGTATTGCACCTTTTCTTATGGCCGAGTAGTATTCCATTGTGTGTGTGTGTGTATATATGTGTGTGTGTGTGTATGTATATATGTGTGTGTGTATATACATATATATACATATATATACATATATATACATATACATATATATACATATATATATATACACACATATACATATATATATATTCCTTATCTTCTTTATCCAATTATCATTTGGCGAAGGTACTTTTGTTGTTTCTATGTCCTGGCCACAGAAGTCAAGTCAAGCTAGTGAAGTAGAGCATCTTTTCATATATCTGTTGGCCATTTGTATATCTTTTTGAGAGAATTTTCTGTTCATATCCTCTGCATATTTTTTACTTGGATTGTTTGGTGTTGAGTTGTATGAGTTCTTTATATATTTTGGATATTAACCCCTTATAGGAGCTATTTTTCTGATCAGAAAATAAAAACACAGTTTTCTAGAAAACTGTGATATAGAGACAAATATTTTCTTAAAAAAACGTGTAATTCCATTACCCAATGAAACTCTTCACATGTTGGTGTATTTTGTTTCAAAATTTCTTTTAGTGACAACTGTTTTTTTAAGACAAGATTCATTTCTTCCACAGACTCCCAAAGGACTTTCATACTTGTGAAGGAATAATATTTTAGAAATAGGCTTAATTTAAAATATACCATTCTTTAAATAATATGCAGCCATCAGAAGTTATGTTTATGAGAACTATGTCAGAATAATAATAACAAACTCTATGTTCTATTGACTGCGTACTATATACCAGAAACTTTTCACATGTTCACTTTAATCCTTCCAATAACCCT